AAATAAAATTCGCTTATATTCTCTACATTTCAATGTAACAATAAAACAGAAACACAATTAAAAAATATATATTTTTATATATAATTATTAATTAAAATTAAATAATGATGATAATATATATTAGTAGATGAATCAATTCACCAGATTTTGTCCAATGCAAACAAACACTTTTAAATAAAGCAACAAAACTATTTTAGGGAACTAGGGAAGTGCACGCTATCCCACAGTGGGAAGTGGTTTGGAAAGAGGAATAACATGAGTCCTATGAAGTCTTTCATTATTAGCATGTCTTATCTGACAGCCCTGGCAGTTCTCCAATACCTTTAACCTTAAAACCTCTCTCTCTCCCTGAAGGTGACCTTGTACTCTGAGGGCTTTGAGTTTAGTAAGACTCTTGCGAGAAAGATGACTCAGATGTCCAAGCTCTGCAGTGAGCAGCTCTCTCAGCAGGATCACTATGACTTTGGCATGAGAGCTGACAAATCTGTGCTGGTCATGGCTGGGTAAGGCAGATCTCTGCTCTGTTTCTACAGGACAAACACATTTTCACATTACTTAATGATTCTCTGTCGGTCTAACATACACTACCGTTAAAGATTTTGGGGTTGGTACAATAAAAAAAAAAAAAAAAAAAAAAAAAAAAAAAAAAAAAAAAAAAAAAAAAAAAAAAAAAAAAAAAAAAAAAAAAAAAAAAAAAAAAAAAAAAAAAAAAAAAAAAAAAAAAAAAAAAAAGTTTTTGTAGAAGTATCACCAAGACTGTATTTATTCAATCAAAAACAATAGTATTCATATTGTGAAATATAATTACAATTGAAAATAGTGTAGTTTAAAATGTAATTTATTGCTGTGATCAAAGCTGAATTTTCAGCGTCATTACTCCAGTCTTCAGTGTCACATGATCCTTCAGAAATCATTCTAATATGCTGATTTGCTGCTCAAGAAACATTTCTGATTATTATCAATGTTGAAAACAGTTGTGCTGCTTCATATTTACAGCATTTACAGCATTTATTTGAAATAAAAATCTTTTGTAACATTATAAATGTCTTTATTGTAACTTTTAATCAATTAAATGCATCCTACTGAATAAATAATAATAATTATTTTTTTAAATCTTGCTGATGTCAAACCTTTGAGCAGTAGTGTATAAATGACATAAAACAGTTCTACAGGCTTGGGATGTGTTTATTTAGGTGTTTTTTTTTTTAACATGTTTATTGTCTTTGCTTTATAAACTAGTCAGTCTTTGATTGAGAGTTGATTTGCACATGCTCAGTCACTGTCATGAATGAGCCAGTTGGAGTAAAGGCCAATAAAATACAGCTGTGGAAGAAACCTCTAAGCAGATCATTTAGGCCCATTTGGCACGACTGTCATGGCCAAAAGCAAAGTCTTCATTAGCCCTGGTCTCAGATCAGCGGCTGTACAGCTGGGTCTCATTTGTATTTTCTTAAGTGTGTGCGTGTGTCAGCATCATGCCACTGGCACATTTTATTAGTTCTCAAGTTTTATATGCAGCATAAATTCTCTTTATTGTCTCTTTATTTCATTGTGTGCTTCAGTGATTCAAAATGTCTGTCTTTAAATCAATGTGATTTAGGCTACTAAACTATTGACAAGAATATACGAACAACTGTAGGCAAGTGTGTTTAAAAGAGAGAGTAAATGTGAGGTCCATATTCTGTGTAAAGTACTGATACAGGTTGTTTAATAGTCTTTATGATTCATACTAATTACTGGTGCTTACCAAGGTATGAATAACACCTCAAATCTTTTGTGGCTTGTTGAGAGATGTGAAGTGATCAGGCCTATGATTTTCGGATGGTAGACATTATAATGTGTGAAAAAAGCCTTTAGCCAGGAAGCAGCCACATAGCAACCATCTAGAAATGCCTTAGCAACCACCCTAGCAAAACCACCTATGACATCCTAATACTGTGGCGGGCAAGCACCACTTACCTCATATTTTCCACCCTAGCAACCACATAGCATTGCACTAAAAGCACTCACACAGAGCACTCACAGAACATCACTCTCATTTTCTTCAGAACATGTAAAATTCTTGTTTGATTTGTGAATTCCATCTATAGTAAGATCTGTTGTGTGATTACCTGTGTGTATGCAGTGTAAAATACAGAGAGAGTCCCATTTTTTGTGCTGCTGGTTGTGTGTTCATGCTCACATTTTCTGAACAACCATTAATATATGTTGTGTGTGTGTGTGTGTGTGTGTGTGTTTGTGTACCTACTCAACCATATTTTGGGGACAAATTTGTACCCAAAAGTGAGCAAAACCTGACAAAATCGCCAAAAACCTCCATTTGGGGACGTCCTCATTTGTAAAACTGGTATAAAAATAAAGTAAACAAAGTTTTTTTTAAATTGTAAAAATGCAGAAAGTTTTCTGTGAGGGGTAGGGTTAAGGGTAGGGGTGGGTTTAGGTTAAAAAGTGTATAACTATCTGTATATAAAAACAATAGAAGTCTATGTAATGTCCCCATTTAGATAGCTAAGTAAATGTGTGTGTGTGTGTCTGTGTGTGTGTGTGTGTTCAGGTCATTAAAAAGAGAAAACCCTCACTTGAGCGAGGATGTTGTGCTGATCAGAGCTCTGCGAGACTCAAACCTGCCCAAGTTCCTCAAAGATGATGCAGTGCTTTTCAAGTGAGCCCTCCCTGTGTTTACAACACATACAGCTTTTAAAATGTTTTTGAAAGAAGTCTCTTATGCTTACCAAGGTTGCATTTATTTGATCAAGAATACAGTAAAAACAGTATTATTGTGAAATATTAATGCAATCTAAAACAACTGCTTTCTATTTTAATATATTTAACAATGTAATTTATTCCTGTGATGCAAAGCTGGATTATCAGCATCATTACACCAGTCTTCAGTGTCACGTGATCTCTCAGAAATCATTCTAATATACTGATTTGATGCTCAAGAAACATTTCTTTTTATTATCAATGTTGAAAACGTTGCGCAGCTTAATATTTTTTGTGGATTTTTTCAGGATTCTTGCATGAATAGAAAGTTCAAAAGTGCAGCTTTTATTTGAAATATTAAACTTTTGTAACATTATAAAATTACTTTACTATTACTTTTGATCAATTTCTATCAATACATCCTTACTGAATAAGAGAGAGAACAAGTATGCATGTGCTCAGATCTTAGCTAAATCTGCAAAAATCTCATTTCGGGGATGTCCTCATTTGTAAAAACATTATAGAAATAAAGTAAATAAAGTCTGTTTAAAAATGGCATGTGGAAAGTTTTCTGTTAGGGTTATGGTTAGCAGTGTTATTTTAGTATCAATGAGATGCTAGTATATATTTTTTTATTCATATTTTGAATCCGTTTTTATATTTTCCATTTTCATTTTAATTTTAGGTACATTTTTTTTTTTTTTTTTTTAGTTTTTTTTTTTGTTTTAATAACAGCATTTATTTAAAACAGAATTGTTTATAACAATGTAAAATTCTTCAACTGTCACTTTTGATCAATTGCATTTCCTAACTGAATAAAAGCATTAATTTTAGTAAAAAAAATAAATCTTACTGACTCCAAACTTTTGATCGATAGTATATGTCTTAGTAAAGAGTAAAACTAAAACAAAGCTTGTAAGGGCCCCACCTCTGAGAAGTCACCATTTTCAGCTGCCTCTACTGCATTCTGGGCGATGTAGTTTCTGAGTACCACATATGGGTTGTTGTTGTTCATCACACGTACTCTCTCCTCCTGCAGTTCTTTCACATCAAGCCCTGATTCACACTCACAAGCAAGCCGCTGCCTTGGGAATTGGATAGACAATATACGTACATTGTAGTGGGGGAAAAAATTAATTAATTTACACAGATACTTCAAGTCCTCTTCAGGTCTTTTTGATTTCAAAAAACAATGTTTTACAATACATTTTTCACCTTCAACAAGAAATGAATGCATCAGATCAAAAGAATTCAAAGATCCCTTTCTGTACCTGTATTTTTTGATCCAGCGGGACCAGTCTTCAGTCTGTTTGGCCCTTAGTTGTTCTGCAGTGGTGTCCATCAGCTCCTTCAATCTTGAGAGCCTTTCCAGCTGCCGGGCGACTGTCTTCCTGTCCGAAATCATCTGGAACAGTGCAGGGTTACTCTGAGCCATGGACAGCAGCATTGCAAGTTCACTATATTGAAGGAAAGAAAACAGAGAGAACAGAAATATGCAAATAAAGATATTTAACCATTTCTTTTTCATTTTAAACAATATTATTTTAGTTATACTAATATAGTATTTATTAATATTTTCAAATTCACTTTTATTTTTATATTTTTTCAGCCTTCACTTTAATTTTAGTTTACGTTTTGCTAAATTGATGTGCTTTTGATACTTAGTGATTTCGTTTTTATTCTTTTAAATTATTTCTATTTCTAGATTTTTTTAATTTTTGTATTTCATGTAGTTGTCAAGGCTACATTTTACAAGTGAAATATTCAATATTTATATTTTATTTTAGCTTAATTTCAATTAACAAATACTTTAAAAGAAATTGTAAAATAATGTAATACTTTTAGTTAATAATAACTGATGATTATTTTAGGCAAATTTGAAGGCCTGCCGAATACTTTTTGCTCTCAACAGCAGTCCAAAAATCTATTCCCATCTCAAAGTAGATAGTGGGAACTGTGTGACATTTAGTCAGTGGGTGGTAAATTGATTTTTTTTAAGAGCTAAAGGAAATAGTTCATCTGGGCTTTCTACATAGTAAACTACACACAACTTTGATCATTATACACCATTAATACATTTTTTACTGTTAATGTTAAACATTTATATTTTTGCTTTTTTGCAAAAATATGTCTATATAGTTTTTATTCATTTTTTATTTCAGTTTTAGTTGTAGAAGTTTTATTACTCAAAATGAGCTAAATGAAAATGAGAATTGCCAAATGCCTTGGCAACTAACTAAAACAAAAAAGCCATTTTTTTTCATTTTATTTGAGTTCACATTGATTTCAAGTAACAAAGATGTTTTTATGGCTTTGGTTTTATTTTCAGTTTTAGAAGTTAACTATAATAACCCTGATGGTTAGGGTTAGGTTGTAGTATTTATAACTAGCTATATATGAAAACAACTGAAGTCTCTGAAATATGCCCATTTAGATGTGTGTGTAAGATATATTTATTCACAATTTTCTACTGAGTAGTGTAGTCATTTCACATGATCTTATGATCTCCACCATGAGGGGGAGTCACCATTATGTAAAATAGCTTTATCCATCTCATGTGAGTGCACATTATTTTACGCATATTTGTCAAAGTACCATTCATTTCTTTAGCTATTAACATCTGGACAGGTGTTTTTACTATCGAAAAATGTATATTTTAAGACCTAATTCAGTTCAATTCAGTTCAGGTCCAAATACTGTATTTCTATGTGAATCCCTAACTCGCTCTTTTTCTTCCCTAAGTGGCATCTTGTTAGACCTCTTCCCCGGCGTCACCATCCCAGAACATGACTACGGTGTCCTGCCCTCCACCATTCACTCATCCCTGTGCCAACGTTCCCTTCAGCCTCTCCCAAGCATCATAAGCAAGGTCATCCAACTCTATGAGACCATGCTGGTCCGCCATGGAGTAATGCTTGTGGGGCCCACTGGAAGTGGCAAAACCACTGTCTACCACGTGCTGGCAGAAACCTTGGATACCCTGTATCATGCTGTCCACCAAAATCCCTTCTACCGCCCTGTTAAGACCTATGTGCTCACCCCGAAGTCAGCACCCCGTGAGCTTTACGGGGAGGTGAACCCGCTGACGCTTGAATGGCGGGGCGGTCTTATGGCGCTTTGTGTGCGGGCAGCAGTCCAGGACTTCAGCGACGACCACAAATGGGTGATCAGCGACGGCCCGGTGGATGCACTGTGGATCGAGAATATGAACACAGTGCTGGATGATAATAAGATGCTCTGCTTGGCCAACAGTGAAAGGATCAAGCTCACGTCTTCCATTCACATGATGTTTGAGGTGAGATGCTCAAATGTGCACATGCTCTCCCTGTTTGTTAAATTCAACAAGCACTTTGTCTTTTTAATTAGAGGCTAGTCACGCATGCTTACATGCTACACTTTCTCAATCAGGTTCAGGACCTGGCAGTGGCGTCTCCTGCCACAGTAAGCCGTTGTGGGATGGTGTACATTGACCCAGAGGAGCTTAAGTGGATGCCGTACGTTCAGACGTGGCACACAGGTTTCGCAGAGAAGGTGAAGCCTTTAAAACTCTCAGAGTTCTCACGAGACTCAAGAGTGTTCACATTGCTTTACAGTCACTGTAGAATTAGAAAGAGTTTTAATTAGTAGTTTTATAGGAGGAGCAGCATCAATATGCATTATGTATGTAGTTGGATGTAGAATGTCTTTTAGTTCGGTTTTTAGACCTGTAGAGCTGTTACCATCTCAGAAATGTATTTTTTAGGTTACAGAGCCTGCTCGTGCATATCTGATGGAGCTGTTTGAACGATATGTGGAGAAGGGCCTGCAGTTTCTATCAAAGTACTGTGTGCAGGCCATTGCACAGGTGGACATCAGTAAAGTCACAACCCTCTGCTGCCTATTGGAGGCGTTACTGTTCAGCGTTGGAGCTCCTAACCTCAAAATAGTATAATGCATCTCAGCTATCACCAAAATGAATCAGACACAGCATTGTAACATATTTTAGAAAGCTTCGTCAGGATTTCTAACTGATAATGTGATAATGTGAAAAGAAATCTGATAATATGTAACAACACAAAAGAAAACCCAGCAGATCTACACTACTGTTATTATTATTATTATTATTTTTTTGAAAGAAAGAAATTAATTTTATTTAGCTAGACAGTCAATCAAAATATTTATAATGTTACAACATATTTCTGTTTCAATTTAATGCTGTTCTTTTTAACCTTTTATTCATCAGAATCCTCATGGTTTTCAAAAAAAAATAAAAAAAATGAAGCACCACAACCATTTTCAACATACTGTAGATAATAAGAAATATTTCAAATCAGCATATTAGAATGATTTCTGAAGGATCATGTGACACTGAAGACTGGAGTAATTATGCTGAAAATTCAGCTTTGCCATCATCAGAATAAATTACATTTAAAATAATTTAAAATAGAAAACAGTTATTCCAAATTGTAATAATGTTTCACATTACTGTTTTTTTTTATTAAATACAGCATTGGTGAGCATGAGAGACTTCTTTAAAAAATAAAAATAAATTAAAAATAAATAATCTTTCTGACCTCAAATTTAAATGCTACTATGTATTCACAGGTGCAAAGACCCTTTTATATTGTGTGAGAAAAAAAGTGTTATGATTAAAATGTTATTTACACTCTTAAAAATAAAGGTGCTTCAAAAGGTTCTTCAAGCGATGCCATAGAAGAACCATTTTTGGTTCCACAAAGAACCATTCAGTCAAAGGTTCT